TGTGTGTGTGTGTGTGTGTGTATGTGTGTGTGTGTTCGTGTATGGTGTTGTGAGTGTGTGGGTGTTGTCGTGTTCGCTATAAACAACTAAACAGAAAAAGCGTGAGTGTGCCAGATTGTTTTGTTAGAAGATTGAACCTGACACTTTTCCCATGAAGCATTTGCTTGATGGATAAGGACTGACCATGTCGCCCCATGGTAGCGGTATGCCTGAAAGAGAGAAGTGGCCACTTTACTTGACATAGCCCTCTCCGTTCGTGGGTGTGCATGATTGATTGTTTGAGATTGATTGATTGAAATTGACTGATCGATTGACAAAGGAAGAGCACCCCCTCTTCTTCTGGGATTTTTAGTTCTTTCTTTGTTCATCAGAACTCAACAAAAGTTGTAGTAATGTGTAGTAATGTGGATTATCTGCAGGAAACCTAAGAAAAATAACAAAAGAAAAACGAGGCAAAACAAAATGATGTTTTCCTGGTCTTTGGGCCTGAGAGCCCAATGACTATGGAGCAAGGAGTAAAGTAACATCAAATAAAATGGCATAAAATGCGATGTAATAAAAGAAAGAAAGAAGGGTATCAGAAAGTGAGAAAAACAAATATGATGCTGTAAAATATATAAGATAACATGAAATAGAACAAAATCAAACAGCATAATCAGTGGATCACAAGGGGGGAGAGAGAGAGAGAGAGAGAGAGAGAGAGAGAGAGAGAGAGAGAGAGAGAGAGAGAGAGAGAGGTGACGTGTTCATCACTGCCCAGCCCCCTTCCCCTGCTTCCGAGCTTCCACGTGCTAGCCGTTTCCTGCCATCGTTCAATGCCTACCCAGCCCGCTGTGCCCTTCCCGTGCCCCCCTGTACCTTCCCGGCCCATTTTCTTCCCATTCTGTGTGTGTGTGAGAGAGAGGGAGAGGGGGGGACGGATAGACTTCCCCTTGGGAGGAGTTGGGTAGCTGCCATGCCCCCCCCACTTCCCTTGGCCTCCCCAGTCAGCCGTCTCCCCACCCTGGCCCCATTTTTCCTAAGCCTCCATAGCTGCACACACACACATGCACACGCGCACACACACACACACACACGCACACACACACACACACACACACACACACACACACACACACACACACACACACACACAATCCGACAGAGAGAGAGAGACCATATCCGAGAGAGAGAGAGAGAGCCCGTCGAGGAAACTTAAGAGAGAGAGAGAGAGAGAGAGAGAGAGAGAGAGAGAGAGAGAGAGAGAGAGAGAGAGAGAGAGAGAGAGAGAGAGAGAGCGGGGAGTTCCATGGCAAAAACTGTGCCTTCGAATGCTTTTGTTGTTTCTGCGAGCAAAGCTGCAACATTTCATCTACTTGTCATAATAATCTAATGATAAAGGTGGCTTTGTATGATGGAGCTTATAAACATTTATGAGTCTCATTTAACCAACATCACCCCCCGCCGTCATGAATAAGGGGGGACCAGTAGCACAGGTCCATGAGGGCTACCGGTAGCACAGTGGGGGGAACTGGTGGAGTGCAAAATTGGAAAATGCGTTGAATAGACCCTGCGACTAGGCTGTTTTCCCGGACGCCCAGCCACGGCATGACCCCCGGGCAGGGTTCCGGGCAGTATCACTGCCCAAAAAAAAAACAAAAAAAATTAAAAAATTCCGGAAAAAAATTAATGTGTAGAATTGCAATTCAAACATTTTTTGGCTGAGGGTCACGTTAGAATTCCTCACAGCGTCGGAGATAAAAAAACTGAAATATAAAAAAAATGAAAATAACGGAATCACACTAAGGCACCCTCCTTTAAACCCCTTCAGGCTGTAACCAGACTTGTCTTCTCCCCTACTCAGCATGCATGAAAACAGATGGGAATCACACTGACGCCAGGCGCCCACACAAAGCTCAGAGGTATCAAGGCCAAGAACACAGTTCAGATTCAAACTTGCTTCAGATGGCTATGGCGCCTGTGCGCCCTCACAACACCCAGCGGACACTGCATTCCCAGCAACTGTTCACACGCATGCTACTCTGGATCTCCCTGGATGTCCCACACACGCATACACTTCACACAACACTGACACACTTACATGCTACAGCCTATCTCTAACCTATGGAAGCTATGGCTGCCTTTACCTCCCTGCCAACTAGTGGCGATGTCCAATTCGTCTCCTTCTCAGCCCACTTCTCCTTCGGGCACCTGCATGCAAAGAACCTCCTAGTTCAACACCATTGAACACACATATTCATACCACATGCATGTATGTGTACACACGGAATTCACACTGGAGACCAGAGAGATGAAGACCAGGTAGCACAGCTTATCATTTCCAGAAAGTATTACATGAGCAATAAGAGTTCAAGTCACCAGCGCTCATCAGTGCGTGCCAAACCAATAATCAGCATAAGCTCTCAGTAAGTATCTCTTCCCCTCTGCTCTTCTCTCTTATGTAACTCTCCACCTTGATGGTCTTCTCCCTAGCTATGTCCTCGCTGTGTCTTCTCTCCTTACATGCATGCACACTCACTAACTTCTAACTTCTAAGTTCTATTCGAGGATCTACTCTGAATACATCCACTGTCAACTCTACTAACCCCTCTGGAGTCTACTACTAACAACTAGCACTAACACTTCTGCACTGGTGCAGCTATGGCTGCCTTCTCCCTGCCAGAGCTATCTTCCTCTCTCTCCCTCACTTAGCGCAGCACTCTGGCTTCAGCGCTCTGCTCCTCACTTCAGCGCACAAGTGCACCAGCACTTCCTCACTTGTAGCGAATGAGCAATCTGCCCGAATGGTAGGCTGGCCAGTCCTTTTGTAGTCTTGGAATGCTCTTCAACTCGTGCCAGCCTCTGCTTTCTGGGACGTGGCTGGCTCTGGTACGGCCTGTCTGCTTCTGAATGTCAAGGCCTGGAACCTTCCCGAATTTCCTTTGGTCTGCTGCTGCTTGGGCCTTTGAGTCGTGACTTTTCACTTGTGATCGTGACTTTTGACTGTGGACTGCCCTTTTACTCGTGGAATGTGACTCTTCAATATGACTTTTCATTATGAGACGCGACTCTTGTCCCTGAGATGTGACTGTTTGCTGGGTGCCTGTTGGACCAGACTGCTGAGGTACCCGACTGTGTCATTTCTGAGTTTGACGAACTCAGCCTTTTCTGGACCAGAGCATCTGACCATGAGACCTGAATTTGGGGTCTGAAACGTGGAAGGCCTTTCATGCAGACCTTCTTGCACAAGACGCTCAGGCAGCGCTTCCGCACGACTCACAGGCAGAATGAATGAATGACTGGACGATGCCTCTTGATTTATACTTCGGTTGGTCGCTGGTCTGCTCCTTTCCACCGGGCCCAATGTGCACACAATCCCACATGGTACTTGCTGACTGGACAAAGTGCGACTTGAACTGGGTACCGGTTACTAGGCGAAGTCGGACTGACGACTTGCCCACTTGCCTACGGACTGTCGCCTAGGACTGAACGAAGGGTCAATTCCGGACCTTCCGGAAGTCCGTAGACTTGACCCTTTGGTACTGTAGCAGCTACGACTTCTGCCCCTACTAAGACTTCTAACTGACAGATCTACAGTTCGAGACCTGACGGCCACACTAACCTGCGACAGACAACAGGCGACTACAAGACACAGGTCGCGGGTTCAAACACACACAGGGCAACTAATCCTGTACACTGGTAAGGGCGAGGTCCGGGGATCGAGCCCTGGGAACGGGAACTGCTACCATAAAGGTGAAAACCGTTTCGAGCCCCTTCAAAAGCAATTTATACCCCCCTTCCCCCCCCTGACAGCCAACTCGCAAAAAAAGAAATGAGCCCAGGTTTTGTGTACCCCGGGCATCATGCCCAGGTGCCCAGCCAACTCGCAAAAAAAGAAACGAGCCCAGGTGTTGGGTACCCCGGGCGTCATGCCCAGGTGCCCGGATGGGCAGGCGTGAGAATCTTGCGGTGCCGCGGATTTATTTTGCGGTGCCGCGGATTTATTTTTTTAAATATTTTTCCTATATAGATCACGACAAAATCTACGGACCCTCAAATTTTCAGAGTTGTTGAGTCATCCTTCGGAGAGCAAAAGATTGCAGAAGTTGGGGTACTTTTCTCGTTGGCCCACAGGTGGTAGAGTGGCAAAAATGGAAAATGTGACGAATTCGCGTGGCATTTATTTCATGCTCTATTTTTTTCTTCTTCCTCATCTTTTTGATATTTTTCCTAGAAAGATCACAACCTAATCTACAGGATCTCAAATTTCCAGATATTTTTGTCAATTCTTCTGAGCACGAAAAATCGCCGAAGTTGGCACTTGAAAATTCTTGGACCGGACCACGCTGCGCCTGACGGTCGCCACCCCCCCTAAGAACCCGGTCCATGAGGCCAGGAAATTCAAATTTAGGCCCAGCGGTGGTAGTGGTGGTTTAAGTGAGTGTATTCGCTCATGTTCTGTCTTTTGTTTTGCTTAAGATGGGGTGGCCTTTTTCATTCAGAGAAAAGGAGGAAAAAGGAGGGGTAGGCAGGGCTGACTCTGCCGTGTGTGGCTATCCATGTTCACTTGTTTTGTCTTTTTTGCAGGTTTTTCAAAATGGCTCACACATGGCGAGATGAGGGGCAGCGGGTATGTACTCTCTTTCTTTGGGGGAGGGGTGGGAAGTCAGTCAGAGTGGATGGTATCTCTACTTCGGCTTTTTTTTTGGGCTTTTCCATTGTTTCTAATGGGGTGTTGCTCTACACCCTTTTTCCATATCATTGGTCGACAGACTCGACACCCAAATTTTTTGAGATCGATATCTTATCTGAAAGTCTCTTCCTAGGTTCCCATTAGAAAGGAACAAGGGGGTGAGGGTAGCCTTCGGAACAAAGGGCCGAATCTCAACAGATCGTGTCAGCAAGAACACTCTACTGCTTACAACCCCCCGCCGCTTGTCTAAGTCGTCTGCACAGGGTTTGACTCCCCAAGCGAGAGAAATTACGCTGGACAGCGCCAAACTTACGCTGTCGGAGCCAGACCCGCTGGCCCTACCGACAGTTGTATCTTATCTGAAAGTCTCTCTCTAGGCCCCCATTAGAAAGACCGGATGCTCGTAGGGAATTGAAGCCTTGCGACATGGTGAAAAGGGAGGGCGAAGAAGACAGATGAAGTGCACGTGCTGGCCCGCAGCTGTCCTAACATTGAGTTATTTTCGCTGTTCTTTTTGTCCACACAATAGATGTACAGACAGGCATACAGAGCACACAGACACACATACACTCACTGGTTGTGTAGAGTGGGTTTTGTGGCTGTGGTAGACTATAACCAAACAATCATCAGCGATGTTGCCCTCCTAAGACATGTATAATATCATCCCTTCAGATGATCGGATTGGCAGAGGCACGAACAAAGGAAGTGTTGGCGGGCCTGTGCTGCATTTATTTGACGAAGTTGGCGATTTGGGTAATGTCAGACCTACTGGTCATTTTTTGAGGGGATTCTACCTACCCTCTGCCAGGATTGGAAGGTTGCTGTTAGTGAAGCCGACCACTTTTCTCAGAGTGATGGGGTGAGTCCTCACCAGCAAGTGGTATGCGTCCTGGGCGACTGTTGAGGTACAACCTCCAGATGAGTCAATGAAAGTCCAATGAAACAGTCTGGCACAGTCAACCTGACTGTAGTATTCTGTAGTGTTGATGATCTCAGAGTGCGTATGCCCTTTGTCGGAAACCCAGCAGAGATTGTTATTGAACGGCTTGGTTCAAGCAATCGAACAAGCACAATTCAGGAAGCGATCAACCATGCACTCTGACAAATAATCAGCCATGCAATCTACGAAGCAAAATCCCCTGAGCCCAAGCGATTGGCCGAGCAACCCTTTGAGAAGTACTAAGCAGCCAACCCGTCAACCAAGCAAGCATCCAAGTAATTGATTAAGCAATCCGAACTAGCCAACCAAGCAATCGACCACGCTGTTGGCCGTGCTGTTTACCATGCAATTGACCAACTGTATTTTCCCCTAACTGTCCCCAACAGATAAACCAGGCAAGACAGGTTAAGCAAGTGATTGATACAGAGATTATGAAGGAAACCGACAAGGGATCGATCAGACAATCGATGACTGCCCATAACGAGCCAATTAATCAGCCAGCTGATTACTAGCGCTACCTACCTACCACAATGACCCAATTAACCAACCAACACAGAAATGAAACGAAAGACAGACAGCTGACTGAGAAATCAAAAGTTTGAACTGAGGAGCTGGTCAACTATGAATCAGCTACTCAAAGACCAGTTGATGAACCAATCAAGCATCGATCAACCTGAGGGCAAATAGTGGATGAACGCATTGAATGGGCACCCTCCCAAGTGAACAACGACTCGATCGTGGTGCTGTCAGGTTGCTAGCAGGCGATTTGTGCCGGTCCAACTTGACGCTGAAGGGTCACTCACACGTCTTGGGCCACGTCTCGGGCCACACAAAATGAATAATACATAAAATAAGCTTTGGCCTTGAACTCGTCAGAAACACGGAAAGCAGCGCGGGATATACTTACGCATTGTCCTCCGTGGACGTTTTTCAAGAACAAACCCTTCAAGCTTAATAGATCCCTCTTTTGGGGTTCAAAAACATTGTAATGCATACCAGCGTAGCAAACTAGCAAAGCAATCAATCGACTGACGGATCGATCAATCAGTCAATCAAGCAACCAATGGATCATGCAATCAAAGCCATCAGCCGACTAACCAATCAGCCTGGCAAAACAGGCTACCAGTGATCGATCAAGCAATCAAGCAAATGAGTCAATCATCCAATTTGCTTAATCCGGAAGCCTAATCATTTAATCAAGTCCAATAAAAGACCATTAAGACGAAGCATTGAGTCAATAAGACAATCAACTGAGACATATCATTCTCCTGACAAGGCAATCAATGAGGCATATTGTTGAGCTGGTAAGGCAATGTATGAGACGATCATGTGAATTGTATGATCCAATGCAGTGGGTTGTACATTTGTTTGATTAAACAAAATTCAATCCATTTCATATGCTTATTATCCTGGTTGAGTACCCAAAAGGTTTTGCACTGATTACCCCAAAATGATTATGCTGTTATCAGCTAGCGTGATTTCCGTTTTGCAGGAAGTTGGTTATTGTCTTGTATCAAACTACCACTACCTCAACGCCGACCAAGACCTGTGTCTGTACGCTGGCCTCTGTGGGCATGGAGGAGACTGGCAGCAGGGAACACAACTTTTATTGAGGTTTCCCTATTTCGTGCCCATGCTGTTTGACAAAATAATTCTGAAAAAAAAAAACTGGAACATACATTCAGTCGTCCTGTGTTGGGGAAAGTTGGAAAAAGAAACTTGATGGCTCAGCTAATGTGTTGAATTACTGGTTGAAGATAACAAGATGTAGTGGAGTCTGGTAGTGCATCTGTTTTGGGTACAGAGGGTCATAGGTTCGAATCCTGTGAACTCTAGTTAAAATCAGAGGAATGAATAAATTGACATGAAAATCACTCAACCACCTTGACTCTTGCCGTGAAATGAGGGCGTCGTGTCCTTGCAGATTACTGATGTGTGGTTGTTCTGGTGGATGACATGTGGTACGCAATCTCATCCTGTGTGTGGCAGTTGCTGAAGAGAAGGCTGGTTGGCTGTGCTGGGGTTCCGTCCTCGGTTTTGGAGGAGGGTCAGCCTGGATTGGCGAGGTTTTTGGAGGCACATCCAGAGCGAGTAGCAGAAGTCGTCCCAGCACTGTTTCCGATCAGCGAGGAAGCTACTGAGGCACCAGATGTGACTGAGGGAATTCTTCTTGAGAAGTACAAGGAATCGATGAGATGGGTAGATTGGGCAATGTGTGGAAGTGAACCCGAGGTGGTTCTTGTAGAGGTTGCTGAAGCCATTAATGGTAACACTAGGGGTGTGTGTGGGGCGGTATGGGGGCACAGAGACATCGCTTACCGATGCAAGGACTGTGAGAGCGATCCCACTTGTGCGATCTGTGTACCCTGCTTCCTGGCCGGAAATCATGAAGGTCATGATTACACGATTATTAGGACATGGAGAGGATGCTGCGACTGTGGGGATCCAACGGCATGGAGGGAGGCCGGATTCTGTAGGAATCATAAAGGACCGGGGAAGGCACCACCTTTGCCAGAGTGCTTTGAGAAGCGGGCAAGGCCAGTGCTCGAGGCTGTTGTCCAAGAGTGGGTGCGTAGGCTTGAACCTGTGATTGCAGAGGGTAGGGAGGAGGGGGCTGATGAGAGCTCGTCAAGTAGGGAGAGGAGGAGCGCAGAGGCGATGTCCCGTGCTGTTGCAGCGGACCTGGTCAAGATCTGTGGAAAGGGGGAATCGCTAAGCCGGCTGGTCGCCAGCGTTACAGGAGATGTAAGATGGAAGCTTCTAGATGCAATCCTAAGGTATGAGAACGCACTTGGTAGGCCGATGGTCAGGCATGTGTATGACCTGCTGTACAAGTTGCTGGGTGACCCAGGCTTTAAGGAAGCTTTCGCAAGGGTCTTCGTTGATCTATATCCCATGTTTCGGTTGGATAGCACGTACGATGATCCCATCTTCCAATCGGATGGTGGATATGATGAACCACGATTGGGTGCATTGCCGCCTCTGTGCACATTCAACATCTTCTCTGTCCAAATCTTCACCGTACCACCTTTGGTGATTCAGTTGGTGAAGGAAGGCCTTCTTAAGATGCTGCTCAACACACTCGTGAGCGCACTGACATCTTCCTGGCGAGAGGATGGAAGAATCGAGGTGAGGCCCTCTCAGGAGTAGAGATTTCCTTTCTCATGCGCTTTACCCCTCTCTGGAATGCTTGGGTGGGTTTGCTCTATTCCTTTCATCAGTTCACCAATGCACACAATCACGACTGTTCCCACCCCGTCTGTTGTAGGGAGCATTCTTTTTTTTTCCTTGGGTGGTTTCCTTGGGTGGTTTGTTCCATCTCTGTTGGAATCCCAACGTATAGCGACCCAGACAATTGGAGATCACCTGTGAAAAACTTATGTAAAATGTCCCCTTGTGGCCATATGCGAACTGGTATTGCCCCTTGTGGCCATGTGCAAACTGGCATTGCACAACTGCCATCTGATACTCTTTTTTCGTGATTGCAAGGGAATAGTGGGCTTTGTTGGATGTCAGGATTGGGGTGAATGGTACACACATATGACTGTTAGTAAACAGACAATGAGCTCGAAATGTTGATGGGGGCACACAAATTCAATAACGTGAAGGGTTACACCCTGAGTGGGAAAAAGGATTGAGGTGCAGTCTGTGGGTAAGCCGAAACACAGATGTAGCGTGGACTTGCCAAGTCTACAGTGTGTGTGCCATTATCTACACAGACCTTTTCTCTTTTTCATCAGGGCACAGTTGCAGTACGGGGTACTCCCAGTAGGGCGTACTCACTTGGGGCCTTCTGACACTCGAGCACGAGTGTGAGGGACAGGCGGCACTCTGCACTTTGATGTAATAGTGGCCGGGTTGGTGTTTAGTGAGCACAAACATACGATCAGTGGGGCCTGCCCTTGGGTGTGCTCTCACTACTTTTGCTTCCCTCTTTCTTTTTTGGTTCTCTATTCATTGCTCCATTGATCATAAAGCAAAACAATAAAAGATCGCAAACTAAAAATAAATGGATATATGGAGACAGATAGATCGATAGGCAGATTGATAGATAGATAGACATGTAGATGGGTAGGTGGGTAGGAAGGAAGGCGGGACCTGAGTCGTCTCACAGAAGATCGGACGCATAAGTGAGCCGAATTGAAAGCAGAAATGAGCAATACACCAAAGTCTCCTGATAAAGAAAGCCTTGCCACGGCCTCCAATCATGAATACAACTACAGTGTAGCCTTCCTAGTGGAGTCCTGAACGCCCTTCCTACTTCCTAGCTCCCACTCATCTAGCCTGCCTACATGCCAGTGATGGTCCACGTGTCAATCGCCTGAAGACTCTGGTCCAACAGCCTGCCCTTGTCAACACCAGATGCGTGCCTCGTTCTCACCACCTCCCTTCTCTCTTCCTTCCGCAAGGATCACAGTACTGCCAGCATCTGGTCATGGTGTGCCCAGCCTGGCTATGGCTGATGCCCACCCTCCTCCTGCTCGCCGCCACCGCCGCAGCTTCCTTCCTCAGGCGTAGCGCTAAGCAGACGCTCCACCAGCGCTGCCACATTGCCTGAATGCCTGAATGTCTCTGGCTGGGAGGCCGCTCCTCTTTTGTCCTGGATCGCGAGGCTATGGAGGCTGCACCCAGGCCCAATCCTCTCCCAGTACCCTGGGCCCTTCCAGAAGACTATGCCTGCCAAGCCTCTGTAACCAACTCATGAGCTGGGCCAACCGGTTGGTTACAGAGGCTGCTTGCTGCACAGTGGTTATGACTCGGGGCCCTTTCTTGAAGCCGGCCTTCACTTAGGGCTGGCTGACATTTTCCTGACCTGCCTTCACTTAGGGAGGACAGGGCCTTTTTTCTGCACGGCCGAGGGCCTAATTCCCTGCAGATGGAGTGGTGGTGTTTACTGGTCCACATGCCGGGACAGTCAGGCGGCTGTTAAACCACCTGTCCCTTGTTATTTTGTTCCGGTGTGGTGATCAACTCACCAGATTAACATGGGCTCGGTCTTCCGGAAGGAAAGGGCTGGCGGTGCCCAGCAGAAAGAACATATTTTGCACCTCCACTGGTTCGTTTTCTTTTTGCACGTAGCAGAAATCCCGGTTGGGAAAGAGGCTCGGAGGGACTGTAGGTTTAAACCACCAGCGCATTCGAGGCAAAATTGTCTCGACACCCCCTGCACGCGAAGCTTTGCCGAAACGCCAGCTCGATGTTTTTGTTTTCTTTTGAATGGCGTTGGCAGCCATTTTTGTCCGGTAGCATTGTTCATTCGAGCTTCTTGGATCCATCAATCGTGATTCTCAAGTCGGCTGGGCTGGTTTGGTGGTTTGAACCACCAGCACACTGCTGAGGCAAACTTTTTTTTTTTTTTAAATATATCGGTAACAGTTCTATTATCATAAGCACACTGCCAAATACGAAAACTGATAGAGCAGAATTACGGCTGCAATTGATGAAGATGTACTGGAAAGTTGGTCTTGATTTCCAGCATGTAGACGTAAATGTTAAGGGATGCTGGACCCCTTTTCCAGCAGTTGCTGCATCCCACCAATAGATGGAGCCTTCGACGCAAGGGGCCTGCTAAATGGGGATGCTCTTATCACCCCAGTTAGCATGGCCACCTGGGACACGGAGTAAAAAAAAAAAAGAAAAAAAAAGACAGTGGCAGCTCAGCAGCTGTCTTTTTTTTTTTTTTTTCCTATTAAGTAAGTGATTGTACCAGCTATCCCCTGCCCATGACCACAAATAAACTACCAGCTGACGCAGCCGTGTCAAATCTCAGGCTCAAACACGTGGCATGACTGGGTACCTCCATCTGCCAGTGCGAAGGCAAGATTATACAGCTGGGTACCCAGCTGCAGAACTGGAACCAGATGGTGTGAAAAACAGCCCTGGTCTCAGTGTGCCAAGCTGTAGACTCGGTCCGTGGAACGTAACGGCGCCAACCTGCCAATCAACCTTTGCTCTGCCTACCCGCAGGAGCAAAAGGAACCAAACCGGGACTTTTTTTTTTTTTTAATAAATAAAAACAGGTCCTTATGGTCCTGGCTCTATATCCATTCTGGGGAGCATCAGTCGGGTTCCTGTCCACCGGCAAGTCGAGAATTGGAGTATATGGTGAAGATTTTCACACTTCCTTCCGTCTGGCCGAAGGAACTCTGACCTGCATTGATTGCTACTATGTAGGAGGATTGACTGTCAGCTTGCCCTACTGCTTTTCCTCTCAGAATCCAATTTGATTCTGTCAAGAAGAGAAGAGAGTTATCTGTATTCTTGAGACTAGGGCCTCAGTTTGCCCATCGCTGGGTCGTCTTTGCTGGGGTTTCGCTGTGCCATTTTTTCCAGATCAATCTATTATCTGCCACTGTTGCAATCTTTCCCTGTAGGAGCCAGTCTCTCATGAAAGAACATCTCTTGGTGGCTAGTCTTTCTGGTCTTTCATTGTCGATGTAACCTCCCTCCATCTGCACCGAGTCTCAGTTTCCGTCATACTCAACAGTATGGCCCACATTTCTTCCCTTGCCACCTCGGTTCTCTCGACAGTCTTGGTACACCTCCTTTTCCAGATCACCCACAGAGCCAGCTTCCTGAGAAGGTGAAACCAGATTACCTTGCCACCTTTGAGATTGTGAGTACTGTCGGATAGAAGGAGGGTGTTTTGAGGAGATGTGGGGGGAGGGGTTGTTGAGAAGAGGAGGTACCAGGGTCGCGAGCTTTGTTCCATATCCAGGCTGCTTCAGTGCAGTACAAGAGGCAGTGAGGTATATCTTCTGGTCTGTTGTCTGTGCACATAAGACATAATTCGGAGCTGTCGGGATCCGTATGGTTCCTCCTCTTGTGGAGCCATTCGTTGATGGGCAAGGATGCTTCGGATCCTAACCGGTCTGATGGGCAGGTACTTCGTCCAGGGGATGGAAACGGGGTCAGTAGGTTCTAGGTTCAGGATCTCCCTCCATTTTTCTTTGAGTCTGGGATCTGGGTCGGTAGTTTGTAATCCTAAGTCATAACCAAATTTTACATCGTATTCAAATATCGTTCTCGTTCTCCCGGATTTCCCCTGTTTCCAGATCCACTCTTTCGGGTCGAATTCGAGGTTTGAGATGCAGAAATCAGGTTGGAAAATTATCCAGGGTTTGGCTGTTGTGACCCTACTTTTCTCAATCGAAAGGGCTCTAGCATGTCACACTGGGTTTTTTTGTTCATAACTTCCAGGTCTTGTAGGTTGTGATTGGTGATCGGGTAGGAGAAGGATTTGGAGACGTAGCTGGGTGCATTAGTTTGAGAAACAAATCGGTAAGCTCTGTGAGGCCGGGTTTGGGAAATGAGTATGCCCCAGTCCCCAGATTTCTATGAGAAGTCCTCCCGTAAGAGGGAGAGCCACCGTGTTGGGATGCTCTTTCTGAATGTGTTAGATTTTCTGTGAGGGCGTGGCAGTCTTTTAACTCATTTTGAAGCTCCTGTTCGGTTTACCATTGTCTTCGACCTTCTGCCCAAATGTGTTTCACCTGCCACACCTCTTTTTCCACCCAGGATAGCCATCACCTGTCTTTTGTGCGTAGTGTCCAGGGTGAGCCACTCGGGTCTACGGTTCAGGAAATGTAGAACATAGTACGATCTGTTGGGTTTCTTCTGCTCAGTCTGCCTGATTTGATTGTCCAGTCCTTCGCCATTATCCAGAAGAGACCTCTTATGTTCGGAGGGGAGTTGATAGGTGCTAGATTTCTGATGCTGTCCAGAGCCATTTGGGTCCATGGAATGTATTGTCTTATTAGGGTCTTGATAATCCTTTTCATCTGCAGTCCTATGGATTCCTGTTTGGGATCAATTAGCCCCAGCCCTCCTGCAGTGTCCTGACGATGTGGTTCCAGGTTACCCTGTTGATACACGTGGTCCTGTTGGGGTCTCCGGTCCGTAAGTAGCATCTCGCCCTGTTTTTAAACGTTTTGAGGTCATCGTCGGGGGGAGACCAGATGGATGCCATGTACCACAGTGTGGAGAACATTGTCATGTTAATTAGTAGTGCTCTTTCAATTAATGAGGCTTGGGCATTTTTGCACGGGGCCATGTGAGTGATTGCCCTGCCGACTAGGTTTTGACCCATGCCTGGCCACACTCCATCCTTGTTCATCATGATACCAGGA